TAAATCTGAAAAGCATAATAATGATGTAGTAAATATATATATTTATAAATATATAACTAATCATACAGGAATATTGGATATGAGCCTTAATTCAAAAGAAGCCACGTGGGAGACAGACTTGAGTCGTGTCCGCACTCATGAAGAGACGAGGTAAGACCGCAAAGTGAACCGAGACCTGACCCCTAGAATCTCTGATGCTCAGAGTTGGGGAGCCCTGGAGAAGCAACTACTGAGGCTAGAAGAAGGCGCCTGGAAGCTCCTGTGAAGGAGGAAAGTCATCAACCCACTGAATGCTGCTGCGTGCAGAACAGAGCCGAGGTGGGTCGCTGGATTTAGCCACGCAGTTGTCAGTGGCCTTCAGGAAAGCAAGTCTGGTGGCAAATGGAGGCAGAACCTCGATGGAAGTGTTTAAGAGAATGCACAAAAAAGAACTGGAGACGGTTGGAGTTTTTAAGGAAGAAACAACAGCGACTCAGTGTGTGTGGGAACGATCCAGAGGGTAACCTTGCTTTGGCGGTGTTACTCCTACAGCCCACGTGCCCCTGTGCGCCATCCTCAGACAGGCTTGGCCGGTTGCTCAGTAAGCAGGGTGGGCGCACAGCCACTGGCCCTGCTCACTTGCACGAGGGCTACCTGGCAAGGCCCTTCTCCTCGCAGCCAAAGAGCAGGCTGAGACCTTCTCTCCACAGCAGCTCTGGCACTTCCCGGGCAACCCCCAGCATGACTGCTGGATTGAGTCACATCTGGCCTCCCGCCTGGGGCTCACTGCTGAGCGCTGGGTCATACACAACACTGTCCTCTCGTCCTCTTCTTGTGCATATGGGGCGCTCCATCTCCACTCCTGATCGCGGCACTCCTTCTGTGGTAACCCCAGACCATCCCCTCCCAACCCGAGACCAAGTTGAGTGTGTGGTGGGAGGCTGGGAGCATGAACGCTGCCTGGCTGCCTCTGAAAGCAGCACTAGGCTGCCGAGGGACAGGTGCCAGGCCTTCTGATACTTCTGGACACTAAGATGAAGGGTAGCGTGTCCGACATCCTTTCAAGTCAACATCGCCAAGGTGAAGCATGAATGTTCCACCGGGGGCTTTTCCGTAATGGAGACTTGGTGATTTTACACTGGGCAATTCCTCCAAGATTTTGTCAGTAGGTTATGTTGAGTGTAGTTTTTGGTGACAGAATGTCTTTTCTCTGCCTTATTTTTCCTCCATATACTTTACTGGAAAACTGTGATAGATTAAATCTGGGGTGACTATCTGGATGTGTCTGTTAGATAAGCTAACAGGCAACAGGCCACACATGCTGAACAAGCCCAAGGGCTTAATTTTTGTTTTCTATGAAGTAGTTTGTTTGGCTGATCACTATGGATGGACTATAAATGCACTCCTGATGTTGGCACCAAGGACACTTGGCACACTGGTAAAGATGGTCACGGGGAGCAGCTTAGTGGGGTGCACAACGCAGACACTTGCTTTTCCCACCATACACCTAAGACACCAAAGGCACTTATCAGAACGGTTTGGTCGCATGTGGGATTTATAGGCCCAAGACTTACTTTTCTCATTGTTTGATTTCTAACATTTTACTGACTAAAATCTCTCCTGGTTTACGCAACTTACTTGTAGTCTTGAAGCACTTAATAGATTGGTTTAATTGCAAGACTGCTTCAAATAAAACCACCCCGGAACACCGTCGAACCAGACATCTTCCACAGCCCTGTCCTGCAGAAGAGCACTGCTGTCTCCGGGCACAGGTGAGGGCCCCACTCTTCAGTCCGTGTTGTGCCTCCACAGGGAGCCATGAAGTCAACTCTGAGTCACTGGCATGCGGCATCTCTGTGACTTCCTCGGCACACTCGTTCAATACACATACACCTAGCACCTGCCAGCTACATGGCATCGCACAGTGCTAGGACAACAGACTCGTGGTGTGCTCTTTGGTTTCACAAGCTGACACTTTCCCCATCACTGGGTGGGTCACACCTTCCTCTCGATTCCTAGAGGCTTGTTTCCAAGCAGCTTCTCAGAATAAGCAAGAGCCAAACAAGAGTTTGTATTCCCATCCCTTATTCTACTTGATTTCCAGGGAAAAAAATCAGAATAAGGCTAACATTAAATTTATAGCAAAGCCCGAACCATCAGTTTAAGGGATGGTGCCATTTGTCTGCAACATGGAAAACATGACAATAACTGGATCAAGAAGCAGGGCACCTTCCAGCTCCCCAGAAGCCACAGTGTCTTTACGTTGCTCTGTGGCAATTTCCTGAACACATTTTTGTTTTTACTTTTTGTACTACAACTCACTCTAACAAATGCAGAAATGCTTTCAGAATGAATCATGCTTACTCTTCCACACACAGAAAAATGGATTCCAATCACATGTGAAAACAGAATTAGATGAACAGTCATCCTTGACTTAGAAATACCTTGACTCAATACAATTAAGGACATCTAATGGCATTTGTTGTCACATGGAAAACCAATTTCTTGCATATTTTCTAGCCAGAGTGTATAGACAAATATAAATACAGAGTCAGTGTGGGCAACAATGTTGACAGGACATCAGGCATATTTAGGAGTGCATTTCCAATGAGGAATTTCAATTTCTTTTTATTCCTGCCTCCTTAGTCTGTACACATATACACATTTACAGGGTGTCCACATAGTAAAAGAATTGAAAGATGCTAATTTCTGCTATAAGAATGCTGAAGTTATAACTTTTTAATGCAGGTATTGAAATGCCCAGAAAGCCTATACTAATAGGCAATGCACAGGAGCACTAACATGGTATTTCTATATCTGATGCATTAATTATCCTCCTTCCACTCTAGATAATATTCCATCTTCAATATTGAACTTTCCTTTAATCAAGAAATCCCCCAGTTTATAAAATCTGAGGGCAATTTATCATGAACTTTGCAGTAAACCATAGTATTACTGAGATATAATCAGAAGGAGGAACCAGTTAATTAGCATTATCACAAAACTGCTGCAAGGCAAGGTTTCTCTAGTTGAATCAGAAAGGTATGCATTCAGGCATAAAAATAGTGGCCTGATTTCACTGAGTATCAACTAGTATTTGCGAAGCTACTTGAGTTTTGCTTTGATCTTCCTTGTTGTTAAATAATGATAGTTTTCATGGTGGTAAAACATCATTTTTCAAGTGTAGGATGATCTGAGCTGAACGGGAAAGAGTAAAGGTAGGCCTGGCATCATTTCAACAGTGTATTTTTCCTCTGTTTTTGATCTTACGAAGCTCTTGTCTCCAAGGTTACCACAATGAAGTAATGAGCATGCCAGCCATTTTAAGGGGCTCGAGATTAATCAAGAAAAGAAGGACGAAGCGACAAACTGTGAACCAAGGTACCATGCTTCAGAGATCTCAGTGCAGTAGCAATGTTTAAATACGAAGACAATTACATACACGCAACACTGTCACATACGTATTTCCTTTTTTGTGATTAAATTTCTTAAAAATAATTTTACTTTTTGTAATTATTTCTTTAAAAGTGGCATACTTTATTAAGAGAAACACTGGAAATATGGATTCTTTTTGAGAAAGACTTCCTCTTCACTGATAGGTATTACAGAAAACCAGATTTCTATGCTGAGCAATGGAGTAATGGAGAATTAACCACTTATGAGTCCAATTCTAATCCACATAAAGGACATACACACACATGCTAAAACTGATTCATCCTTTCAGTTAAAACATTTCCATTCCTGAACAAATAGCTACTGACTGGGTATCCTATTTTGTCAAAAAATGGTCTAGCAGCTCAGATGCTCTTTACGTTAATTGACACGCAGAGTGGAGACAGCAGAGATGACGCTCCACGGAGGGAAGACCTCTATCTCCTACAAGGACAACATCTAGCGATCACGTTTAGATTGCCCAACATGCAGATGTTTTGAGTGTCTCTTACTCAGCTTTCTCCCTTCAAATATCTTTCTATTCTGAACAGAACAGTTTTGCCTCCTAGGACTACTCCTGTAGAATTTAAAAAAACAGAAAAAAACCCAAAAAACCCCATAGTCTATGTTTCATTCATTTTGAATGAAAATGACCAAAGAAAGAAAACCTGTACAGATAATTTGCCCTCATTTAAATAACAGTAATTTGTATTGGCCCTATTTTAATTTAGGGAATTTTATATATAGATGCATCTCTCTCTCTTTTTTCCTCAAGATGTTCATGTGCAAAAGTTCCTGAAGAAACACCACTTCTATTATAAAGTTTCCTCCCTTCACACATTAGGAAACAACGGACAATGCATTTATCACTTTGACTTGTTTAAACCATATACAAAGAAGTCGGCACACATTTGTTTTCTTTTTCTTGTTAATTTAGTTTTTTATTTTTTTGTAGGGACAGAGTCTTACTATGTTGCCCAGGCTGGTCTCCAATTCCCGGGCTCAAGTGATCCCCCTGCTTTGACCTCCCAAGGTGCTGAGATTACAGGTGTGAGCCACCGTGCCTGGGAACACATTTTTTTCATTGTAAAAACAGGCTAAGCTGAACGGTCACTCTCTAGCATCTGGTGCTGACAGATCAGCCTGTACACAGATTATCCAGACTCCTGACTAACTGCTCATTACTGTTGGCTGACCTGACCCTTGACTGTATAGCATGTGCCTCCCCAAGGATGATGAGGGAATGCAAGGACATAAAATACAAAGCGGGGTATTTCGCTACTGTCGGCACTTTTGGTAAAAGGTATCACTGAGGTTAGAAAAAAGTTGTCAGCAAAACAAAATTAAGGAATAAGTTACCTGTGGGGTTTCATTTACTCATATTGGGACGGACAGGTCCCTCCTTATTAGAGTTTAACTAAAAACAGACTGAACCATGACTGGGAGCTATATATTGGTCATTTCCAAACACTCCAATGGCATTCTTCAAGAATTTTATCATCTCCAGTTTTATAGTGCCATACTATGCTTTTCACAGTTTACATTTCCTATTCCATAATCCAAATGCCAAAAAAATACTACACATTCTCTTATACAGTCAAAAATAGGTTTACTGGAATGTTTTTAGTTACAGTTGAAGGCAGCAACATTTACAACATTTAGCTACACCATAAACATGTGGAAACTGCTTGCAAAACAACTGCAATATGAAAGAAATGATACTTTTGCAAATATTAACAGAATGGTTATGCATCTCTTTCCGCATGATGATCTGGTGCTCCACATAGGCTTCCTGACCCCCAGCCCGACCCACAACTTAATGCAACAATGCAAGTCCTCAAATATCAAATACAAGTCTCAAATATCATCATCAGTGTTTAACTATATACACAAACAATGAACTGGCAAGTATAGAGTTTCAAATCAGATCCTTGGAATATGGCAAAATAGAGGCTGGTTATCTTCGCCCTAAACATAATTATTAAAAGCATATTTTATTAGAAAGGAAGAAGATAATTGGACATTCTCAGTGCTCCAATTTGAAGTGATACTTGCCTCTTAGTTTCTTGAAAAAGAAGTTTTAAAAGTTATATACATAGATTTCATTTAAATTATGCAGCCATCTTTTATTGTCCCAGATCTTGTTTAATGAAGATCTCTGTCATCAAATCAAGTACGGTATTTCATAACTATAAGAACTGTAAGAGAAAAAAACGAAAAAAAAATCAAAATCAGATTCACACGCTACATCAGAAGCAATATTCCTAAATGTAGCTGTGTCTACTTTTAGAAATGAATAATGAGAACTGCACTTTTATCTGAGATAATAGATAGCAAATGGGAAAGAAGAAACAGAAAACATAAAGCAAATATCTAACACTGGCATCTTGATCAAATAAACTGACATAACCATTGTTTGCAACTGCTAAAATATTATTTAAAATTTTAATCACATAAGACAGATATTCACAATATATTTATTAGAAAATATCTATAATCTTAGTTTTTAAAAAACATGCTTATATGTTAACAGAAAAAGACTATAAGTGTATATAATAGTTATGTTAGCGGTAGCTATCTCTGTATGGTAAGATTATAGCTGAATTTCATTCCTTCTGTGTGCTATTTCACGTTTCTAAATTGTCCTCCATTACATGGTTGACTTTTGTTTACTGAGGTAGTTATATTCTATAAAGTCACTACAAACACTAAATTAGTGAACAGTGAGCCACTACTCCTAGCGAAAGAATACGGTTAAGTCCTATGAGCTTCTGGCTACATTTTTGTCAATCAATCAACATATAATATTGTTTTACGTGTTCCTGCGTAAAGACATGTTATTTAATGCACATTGTTGACTTGACCCTGTAGTGACAGTAGCCTCATGGCCTGCAGCCTAGGACTCACGCCTGCAGTCTCCCCAGCATGTGTATCTCCCCACTAGGGCCCACTGCAGCCTTCCTGCACTTGGCAACACTAGACAGTAGTGCAGCCTGTGCCTGGGGGCCATTTACATGGTGAATTCACCAACAAAAAGCACAAAAATGCAGAAAACGTGGCACTAAATAGGCTACCAAAAAAACACCTTCACATTATGAGAGCTGAAATAAAAAGGCGAGCTGGCCTTGCTTGACCACAGCTGGGAATGTACAGTTCAGGAGACTAAAATTCTTTTTTTTCTCTTTCATTATTTTTAGAGTCGGAGTCTCACTCTGTCACCCAGGCTGGAGTGCAGAGGCACGCTTATGGCCACCGCAGCCTCGACCTGTTGGGCTGAGGTGATCCTTCTGCCTCAGCCTCCCAAGTAGCTAGAACTACAGGCATGCGCCACCACATCTGGCTAATTTTTTGATTTATTATAGAGATGAGGTCTCGCCAAGTTGCCCAGGCTGGTCTCGAACTAGCGGGCTCAGGCAATCCTCTCACCTCCCAAAGTGTTGGGATTAAAGGTGTAAACCACTGAAACCAGTCGCGACTCAGATTCTTTGTTGCTCTGAACATGTCTGCAAATGATGGTGAAAATATCATGAGTACTGACTTTGGGGTTACAAATAAATTTGAGCTGGTAAGTGAATTCACAAACACAGAATCAGCGAATAACAAGGATCGACTGTATCTCTTGGTAACAAAACATTTTTCTGTTTAAAAAGAGGATCACATAATACAATTTTTCAAATGGGTATTTTTAGAGACTTTCTACATCTTCATAAAATCTCTATAAGCATAGGTAAAGGGACCTTGAAGAAAAGGAGATATTAAAAGTGATCTGATCTTCAAAAGAACATTAAGAAAAAGTGGGGAAAAGGAGATCCGCTTTAATGATTGAAATCAAGCTCAAATCCAGAACTAAAGAAAAACCAAACAACAACAACAAAAAGTCATCTGGATTTATCCTTCCAAAACAACATTGTAAGATACACACAGCTGAAAGTATAGAAAATAGAAAAATTAATGTTCTGGGCCTGAGTGTAATAGGAACCCAATATGACCTTGAACAAATCACTTAGCCCTGCATTAGGTGGTGAGGGTGGGGGTAGGACACAGGTTCCCCTTGAGAATCTGACAAAAAATAGACTCCTTCCCCATAAAAATGTACATATGCATATTCACATAACATTTTACATGTATTTAAGAGCATTTTTAGAGATCTAGATTCTAGGTTGAGGGCTCTTGTCTCAGGGCAGAAGCCATCATTCAATCCTGACATCAGACATACTAGGTCAACTGAAAATACATTTAAAAGGGTACAGGGAGGGTGTCGTGGCTCAAGTCTGTAATCCCAGCACTTTGGAAGGCCGAGGCAAGAGAATTGCCTGAGCCCAGGGGTTCGAGACCAGTCTGGGCAACTTGGTGAGACCTCGTCTCTACAACAAAATTAAAAAGTAGTTGGGTGTGGTGGGGTGCACCTGTAGTTCCAGCTACTTGGAAGACTGAGGCAGAAGGGTCACCAGAGTCCAGCAGATTGAGGCTGCAGTGGCTGTGAGTGTGCCACGGCACTCCAGCCTGGGCAACAGAGTGAGACTCTGACTCAAAAAAAAAAGGAATTAGGTCAGGCGTGGTGGCTCATGCCTGTAGTCCCAGCACTTGGGGAGGTGGAGGTGAGAGGATTGTCTGAGTCCATGGGTTCAAGATAAACCTGGGCAACTTGGCAAGACCTTGTCTCTACAATAGATCAAAAAATTAGCTGGGCATGGTGGTGCACGCCTGTAGTTCCAGCTACTTGGAAGGCTGAGGCAGAAAGATCGCCTGAGTCCAGCAGGTCGAGGCTGCGGTGGCCATGAGTGTGCCACTGCACTCCAGCCTGGGCAACAGAGTGAAACTCCGACTCAAGAAAAAAAAAAAAAAGAAATTAAAATGAACTCCAAAACAAATAATACCCACAAGAAGCCATGATCCAGTAAATACTTACTGATAATCACTAGCAAGAGGATACCAGCAGCCAAAGCCATGACAGCTTTTATCTATAACACAAAAGAACACACAGAAGACATTAATGTTTGCCTTATTAATAAACTCAGGACTATTTGTTGCAGTATTTACTACATTATACTAAAGCATCTTATTAAACACAATAGACAGACACATTCCTTGAAAAGTTTTCAAATTTTTTCTCACATGAACCTACTGGCTGTTTCACATTCTTTTGTAAATAATCAGAATTCTCCAAACTTGAGAGTTTTTGACTGGCTGGGTTTTATTGTTCAGGGCTATACTGCACAGTAAACATGGGCCTGGACCTTTCTGTTTGTGGTTTTACATGCTTATTTCTAATGTGAGACCAGGAAAAATATATGATATTTTAGCAACTCTGTTCAAGGGTCAGGTTATGACAAATAACACAGGCAGCCAATTTGAATGGCTTAATATATGTAGTGTAAGACAGCACCATTTATAGTACTTATTCTCAAAGTATATGAGAACTTTATTAGTTTTTTACTCCCCTTACTTTCTTCTTGGCGTTTTTAATCTCCATTTTGAGGAATATATTTTAGATTCTTCAGGAATAGCCTCATTAGTAAGCAACTTGCTAAGAACATTGTATGTGTCAGTTTGATAGTTGAAAGGAGAAACCTCAAGATCAGTTCTTGGTCAGCTGCTTAATATGTAATAACAAAATAATCCAGAGAGTATATGGAAACTTTGCAATTTGGATAGCAATGGCTATTAAAATTACTAATTATGACAACCCAAAAAATACAGAAACAGATTGGATAGATGGGACAGGAACATCTTTTAATTGGGTGTTGGGGTCCATGTTATACTACAAACTAAAGTAATTTAATCATTTTTTGTGAACCTGAAACATTTCTAAAATAATTTGGAATTTTGCAGTAGTTTTTCAACTTCACTCCAATATACATTAATGTGTTCTAGGCCTAACTTTAGAAGATTTAAATGGAAGTGTCAATATCAATTTTAAAACACCTCAATTAATAGTTTTCTTTCTTGGGTTTCTAATACTGGGTAGGAAATGTTTACAACTTCCAGTGGCAGTATTGTATTCATGTAAGTCCAAAGTCCTCTTCTAAAGGACATGGACAAAAATCTGCTTATTATTACACACATAAAATCTTCAGAGCCTTCCAGATACATGAGAGGTGTCAGCAATTCTCTCTACCCACCCATTGGATAAACTGTATTCATTTATTTTTAAAGTCATATTTACTGAGGTATAATTTACATAGAAGAAAATTCATTCTTTTATTTTTGATGGCTTTTGATATTACCTAGAGATCAAATATAGGACATTTCCAGCATTACCCCAAAGAGTCCCCTCACCCCCTGTGGCAGTCAATCTCCAGTCCCACAGACTCCCTGGCTAATGGTAACCCCGATCTATTTTCTGTCCTCATGTTCTTTTTCCTAAAATCCTTCTCAAACCACCATGATGAAAATCAACACAGAAAGTGGTGGATGAGGGAAGGCAGCCTCAGATGAACAGCAGCACAATGAAGGACTGATGACACAGCTAGATCGAAGACGGCTGAGCAACGGGAAACAGTAACAAGAGGAAAACACGGGCTCCTTCAAATGGTCTTCGTAACGTTACAGAACAACGGCTTTTGCTGCAGGGTCCGTGCTGCTAGTGGTCCCCAAAGGTCCTCAAATTGATAAAACACTGTTTAAAATATAATCCAATGGTTTTTCCTCTTAAAAGTAAACTATTCCTCTGATCTGAGACCCATAAATACAAAATTAAAAATTTTTAGGCCGGGTGTGGTGGCTCAACCCTATAATCCCAGCACTTTGGGAGGCCGAGGTGAGAGGATTGCCTGAGCCCGTGGGTTCAAGACCAGCCTGAGCAACATGGTGAGACCTCGTCTCTGCAATAAATCCAAAAATTAGCTGGGTGTGGTAGCATGTGCCTGTAGTTCTGGCTACTTGAAAGGCTGAGGCGGAAGGATTGCCTGAGCCCAGCAGGTCGAGGCTGCAGTGACCAGAAGCATGCCACTGCACTCCAGCCTGGGTGACAGAGTGAGACTCCAACTCAAAAAAAAACCAACAAAACTTTTTTAGATGTGGTTTTAAAAAGCAAGGGAAAATACACACTATGATCAGCTTTCATGGCTACATGAATGAGGCATGTGTGAGGGGAGAGACTGGCTCATGAAACTTTTGTTTTTCCAAACTAGCCTACAGAAACAGCCTATTTCTATGGAAACAGAAAATTTAAAGTAAACAGAAAATTTATTCTTTAAAGAATAAAGAATTCAGCCGGGCTCAGTGGCTCAGCCTGTAATCCCACGCCTTTGGGAGGCTGAGGTGAGTGGATTGCCTGAGCCCACGGGTTCGAGACCCGCCTGGGCAGCGAGACCTCATCTCTACAATAAATCAAAAAATCAGTGGGAGTGGTGGTGTGCGCCTGTAATTCCAGCTACTTGGAAGGCTGAGGCGGAAGGATCGCCAGAGCCCAGCAGGTCGAGGCTGCGGTGGCCGGAAGCAGCCACTGCACTCCAGTCTGGGCAACAGAGTGAGACTCCAACTCAAAAAAAAAAAAAAAAGAATAAAGAATTCAGCCTGTAATCCCGTGCTTTGGGAGGCTGAGATGAGTGGATTGCCTGAGCCCGCAGGTTCAAGATCCGCCTGGGCAACTTGGCGAGATCTCATCTCTACAATAAATCAAAAATCAGCCAGGTGTGGTAACGCGTGCCTGTAATTCTGGCTACTCAGAAGGCTGAGGCGGAAGGATCGCCGGAGCCCAGCTGGTCGAGGCTGCTGTGGCCGGCAGCGGCCACTGCACTCCAGTCTTGGTGACAGAGTGAGACTCCAACTAAAAAAAAAAAAAAGAAAAAAAAAGAATAAAGAATTGGCTAGCTCCATGGCTCAGCCTGTAAAAGCACTTTGGGAGGCCGAGGTGAGTGGATTGCCTGAGCCTGTGGGTTCAAGACTAGCCTGTGCAACTTGATGAGATCTCGTCTCTACGATAAATAAAAAATTAGCTGGGCATGGTAGCCTGCACCTGTAGTTCCGGCTACTTGGAAGGTTGAGACGGAAGGATCACTGGAGCCCAGAAGTCGATGCTGGAGTGGCCATGAGTGTGCCACTGCACTCCAGCTTGGGTGGTGGAGGGAGACTCCAACTCAAAAAAATAAAAATAATAAATAAATAAATTTTAAGGAAAGGGAGCCATGAAACATGTTTCTTTCCTCAGTTCTATTTCTGAAAGTAAGAGGATTCAACAAGTAAACAGACAAAAATAAACAAATCCAAGGTAACTCTCAGGAGAAATCCTTAGCACATGGCCAAGTCAAGTGTAGAAGTCATTGTTGAACTTGAACATGAGAGACTACGATGAGTTCATGTTCAAGAGTTTCAGTAAAGCCAAAAATTATACACAGAATCAGAAAGAAAAAAGAAAAGTTTTGCTCATGTGACAGGAAATTCACTATAAAATCTTAAAGGAAACACTTTGTTTAATGATTAGTAGCCACACTTGATTTAAGAGGTAAATTCATTTCTATAAACTGTTTTGCAGGAATATTAGTATATAGTGATTCTCATTTTTTTCTTGTTTAAAATTACATTTTTTTCCTGTTTCTCTGGAATAATGAGGATTAGTGAGCTTTTTTCCTTAACCTCATTTGTCATAACAGATTCTGATATATAAACTGCTTTATTTTCCCTCTTTCTTTTCTTTTCTTTTTTTTGAATTGGAATCTCACTTTGTTGCCCAGGCTGGAATGCAGTGGCATGCTCATGGCTACCACAGCTTCGACCTGTTGGGCTTAGGTGATCCTTCCACCTCAGCCTTCCAAGTAGTTTATTTTTCCTCTTTCAGCAAAAAAAAAAAAAAAAAAAATCATATTTTTATCTAGTTCCCACATTTAAAAAAAACTTTATATAATGCTATAGAGGTTACTCCAAAGAGTACTCATAATTATAAGAAAAGTTCAAGCTGGGCTCGGTGGCTCAGCCTGTAATCCAGCGCCTTTGGGAGGCTGAGGTGAGTGGACTGCCTGAGCCTGTGGGTTCGAGACCCGCCTGGGCAACTTGGTGAGACCTCATCTCTACAATACATCAAAAAAATTAGCTGGGCGTGGTAGCGCGTGCCTGTAGTTCCAGCTACTTGGAAGGATGAGGCGGAAGGATGAGGCGGAAGGATCGCCGGAGCCCAGCAGGTTGAGGCTGCGGTGGCCGGGAGCGGCCACTGCACTACAGTCTGTGCGACAGAGTGAGACTCCAACTCAAAAAAAAAAAAAAAAAAAAAAAAGAAAAGTGTATATTTGTTATGGGATAATAAGTCCAGAGATAACTAAGTTACTAATAAAATGTGCCTTACTTTTATGAAGAAATCTATGAAAACATCCTTTTAGGTACTGCTTGGTTCCTTTAGTTATTCCTATCCCCAAAGTCATTAACTCAAGTATTGACTGCATTTCTCCCATGTCTCAGGCTCAGATGCTGTAATAGTAAGCCAAACAGTTGTAGTCCCTGTGCTCACGGAGGCTGTCCTCCAGAGACCCGAACTTTCTTCCTGTGTTTGAGCAGCGCTTGAGACACTGACCAATCTCTCTAGAATCTTCTGGTTTACTTACTTGGCATCCACGCCACCACATTTGCCTTCGAAGTTGTTTGGATCTATTGCTAAAAGCAGTTGCATTATCCGATAAGCTTTCTATATCACATAGAGGATGGAGAGAAGGATTAAACGACATAACAGGATTCTTTTATCTAGTCACAAAGACAAGAAAATATTAATTTCTACTTCTGTAAATTTATTCCCTTTTGAGCATGAAAACAACATCCTCCCTTTTCTCCATCCACAAACTCTGGCTTTCTACTGTACGCTGTAAAAACAACAAAGTAAAAAACAGCTGCGGATCAGTTTGCTCAACCCGTTTTTATTATAAGATTAAGAAAAGTCTTCCCAGGGCCTCAATGCTTATAAATAAACTTATGAATTTTGGTAAGAAAATATTCTTTAAAAATTCAAATACTTGGCATATCTCTAGAAAAAAATTACATGTGGAGGTTAGATTCTTACAAGATATCAAAAGTAACTGATTTTAAGGGAAAACAATATGAATCTTAAAAATAGTTAAACAAAACTTTTTTTTGGCTAAGCAAGTCTGTCAAGGATTAATCAGGTATTCAGTCATTTAATATTCAAACAATATTTGAGTGCCTAATATCTTCCAGTAACTGTTATAGGTATTAACACTGATGTGTGTCAGTAAAGAAAGATGACTAAGTTACCAGAGAAAGCATAAAATAAAACTATCAGAGAAGTTTGAAGTAAGTGTTGCAAAAAGCGATCAGAGGTTTTGGCCTTGGATCTATGAGAAACAGGGAGCACATCAACATGACAGGGCAAAAGAAAGAACAGCTCTACTCTTAACTCTTCAACAACGAATTTTGAAATTCTCTATTCTCAACTAAACAATAAAAGAAATAATATGGCGATAAGATGATTCAAAGTAGAGAAGCTAAAATTAAGCCATTAAAATAATGAACTTAAGAATCAAATGCCAATTTCCTAAGCCAAGACTCCAGAGAATTGGTTAGACAATAAAAGAATTCATAACCTCGCAAAACAGAGATTAATAATTCAAGAAAGAGATGAGATATCTGTACCTGATTTGTCTTGTAGTTCATCTAGTCTCTCCCCTCTCTCAATTACCTTTGTAATATTCTCTTGCATGACATCAATAACTTCATCCACCTGATTCTGAACACTAATTAAGAAAAGATAAAAAAGTATTTCTTTTCAGAATGCTTAGAATTTCTGAAATTTGTATTAGACATGATAGAGAATAGCAAATTCTCAGAGAATTATGCAACTATAAAATTTAAGTTTGAAGCTCTGTAGTAACATTCTTCCATTTGCGGGCTTGAATACTCAGATAATTAAAGACAACATAATGTAAATTAAAGTAATATTTAACTTAAAGATAGTTTATTTTTAGCCTGCTTCTGACTAGTAATGTAACCCACAAGTAAATTAAATGCACTGTCAGAATGCTTAGTAATTGCAGAATTTAGTAAAACAGCTTGACTCTAAATAGTACGTTTCATTTCAACAGGCTGTAGAGGCAGCACGTAAACACAGTTATAATTTACTTTTGAAATATACTTCATACATAAAGGCTAACAAAGGCGTCTGCCCAGCTGTGACAGAAGGTTATAAAAACTACTCAGGTCTGTGTAAGAATATAACAGGCATACCATATGGCCTAGGTGTGCAGTAGGCTCTACTCTCTAGGTCTGTGTAAGAATATAAAAAATATTCTTTCAAAAAGAAAGAAATTTTGCTGTCCTTCAAAATGAAAATAATGTTTTCATCCTTTACTACTAGATGATGGGAGTCTATTATAACGAAACTTCAGACTGTTTAATGAAGATCTATCCTAAACTTAAAAATTTAGTAATTAGGTCTCAGCTGCCTCCTTTCACTAAGGAGTTAGCTTCGGAGTACACAGAGGCATGCTTGGTTATTCAAAGTGTTCCTCTATTGCTCTAACTACAAGACAAAAAGTTACCTTAAATTACTTTATGAAATGTCAAAACAATAAAGTATTTAGAAGGAGAAACAAAGAGAACTCATAGTTTTTATAACTTAAAATGCTTAAAATACACTGGATTACTAGCCACTTTGGTCACGTGGCACATAATGACACTGGGGTCAGTGATAGGTCACATTTACAACAGTGGGCCCATAGATAATAAAACTATTTTTACAGTACTTCTTTTATGTTTAGATGCACAAATACTTGCCATTGCGTTACAAGTGCCTACAGTGTCAGTACAATCACATGCTGTAGAGGACTGTAGCCTGGGAGCAACAGGCAGCACCACATAGCCTAGGTGTGCAGTAGGCTCTACTCTCTAGGTCTGTGTAAGCACAAACTGTGATGGTCACAACAACAAAATCATCTAACAACGCATTTCTGAGAATGCATCCCTGTTGTTAAGGGATGCATGATGGTATGTAAATGTTTTGTGTGTGTGTGTGTGTGTGTGTGTGTGTGTGTCTGTATTTATCCATTCATTCATTCAGAGTTGGAGTCTCACTCTGTTGTCCAGGCTACTGCAGCCTCGACCTGCTGGGCTCAGGTGATCCTTATGCCTCAGCCTTCCAAGTGGCTGGAACCACAGGTGGGTGCTACCACACCCAGCTAATTTTTTGATTTATTGTAGAGATGAGATCTTGCCAAGTTGCCCAGGCTGATCTCAATCCCTGGGTTCAGGCAATCCTCTTGCCTCCACCTCCTAAAGTACTTGGACTACAGGTATGAGCCACCACACCAGCCATAATGTATATAGATTTACATAAACACAGATATGCAATTGTGTTTCTGGTTGGAAAAGAAGTATCAGTTGTCACTAGGGGGCTTTTAAAGACATTTCACAATATACATCTCTCCTCTGCACTCTACACCACATTGCCCTCCAAACTAGCCCAGGGAATTGAGGCTGAGACAGCACATGGAATTTTGAAAGGAATTCTATCCTTTTCCTATTACTGGGCTATTTCTTCAAAAAATCTTGCTTTAAAAACAAAATAAAACCCATTTAGACATAGGTGGATTCATAAATATTCTCAGATTCATGTGACAATTACTATGCCTGCCACCCTCCACCTGTGTGCAAAGTATTGTGTGTACCCGCAGATCACCCACACACAGACTTCTCGCGGCAGCCCAGAGTCCTATTCTTCCCATACACTATTCCACTGAAGGACATGACTGAAGCTCAGCCGAGCTGGAGCATGCAGAATTCTATTCTGCCCCAACAGATCAGGAAGAACCCTGAATCTCTAAGATGTCTTGCTGAAAGTCCTCACCACATAAGCAAAGTGCTAAAGATATCCATCCTGTACAAGAACCAAGGCACAAATATTTACACAAGTAACCAACTTATCCAACAAATAATTAATGAGCACCTACTATTTACTATTTTGTGTCCTGGGAAAACAACAATGAACAAAACAGAATAAACTTAGGTCTGAATGTACAATGAACGCACTGCATTGGCCTCAGAGTTATGAAATAGCCTGCTCTATCCATTACTCTACTTTATTTACTGCACGTAAGCATGTAAATAAGTAAACAGGTAGTAAGTGAAAGAGCCTAGTTACTGATGTACATGCTTATTTTCTGCCTCTCCCCAGTAGAAGGTGAGCTTGATGCATGCAGGGACCTTGCCTATTTTGTTCACTTTTGTAACCCCAGGACCTATAATAGTGCCTGGGGCAGAGTGGACGTCCAGTAAATATTTGCTGAATAAGGGAACAATGTGGGCATAAATCTGGCAAAGCATACCCAGTTACTTGAGAAAGAGATACAGGCAATGAGTACAGAGCCTTTCATCCAACTGTAACAGAAACAGAGCTACTGTGTATTAAGGGTCAATTGTGAAATTCCCAGGTAGTTATTTTTATCATATGGAAGTAATGATAATTAACAGCCTAAAGTAAGGCAGTAGAGCAAAACAGGAATGGAAAAAATGTACTGCAGCTCCTACACACGATCAAATTACAGCTATTATAGATACACTATGCATAATTTTATTTTATTTTACTTACTCTTTTTGAGTCAGAGTCTCACCCTGCCGCCCAGGCTGGAGTGCAGTGGCACGCTCACGGCCACCACAGCCTCAACCTGCTGTGCTCAGGTGATCTTTCCTCCTCAGTCTTCCAAGTAGCTGGAACTACAGGTGTACACCACCACCCCCAGCTACTTTTTTGATTTATTGTAGAAACGAGGTCTTGCCAAGTTGCCTGGGCTGGTCTCGACCCCCTAAGCTGAGGCAATCCTCTTGCCTCTGCCTTCCAAAGTGCTGGGATTGCAAGTGTGAACCACCATGCCCGACACTACACATAATTTTAAATAAAAGCAAAAAGCTAAAGAAATAGAAAAGATCTCAGAACCTCTTTAAGTAAATGACTCCATGGATATAGGCAGATTAACTGGAACAGAACCTGTAATGTTTCAGATTCTTACTAGATTACCATAGACCTACAAGTATCCTCTCAACAACATGGCACACGTAATAAATCCCATCTCTGACGAGAACCCCCAACATTTTAATCTGTCCTATGGGATTAACTAGTGAATTACTGTTGCTTTCTCCTTCACACATCACTATCTGCTGGTCTAACACTCTTGATCCAGCTTCCGTGTAACCTCCCTCAATGATGGAAAATCTCATGACTGTGCTTCTGTTTCAAGATGTGTCCTCACCTAGAACACGACTTTGGTAAAAGAAAGAAAATGATTTACTCATCTAATATGAAGGACAGTTTTGTGTATAACAAGGGATAACACGCTTCCTCGCGATCTTTTACATTTCACAGTAGTCTCTGATTTCTATGTGCTTCACACTGGTCTTATCCCATTATACCGCAAATGACTTAAAAGCAGAGACTGTCCCATTCATCTTTTTAGTTCCCAGGAAATGTGAAATGCACCTGGTACAAAGTAAGCATTCAACAAGTATTTTCTAATCTGAATTAAATATCTTATTCATTTAAAACATTTATTAAAAAGTTATTATACTATTCATCAAGGATACCAAAGTGAGGATTGTGAGTCTGAGTCTGATATTTAGACAGTAGCCAAGTAGGGAAACTGTTAACCACAATAACACCACCAGGGATTAAGCGTTCCAGTGGAAGGGGGTCCCTGGTGTCTGGAATGTGGTCTGAGGTACTCAGCCTGGACCAGATGCCATCCAAACCTGGAACAAAGCTTTGAGGAGTTCAGAATGAATAGGGCAAAGAAAGTGACAGATGGTGGGAACATTTTAGGCTAAGGAAGTATTTGTAAGAGGAGAGGGTATTTCAAGAACTAACAGGATGTGGGCAAAGGAACTGAGGAGAGAAAATCATAGAGAACTCCTAGATTTATAATTTCAGAAACTGAGTGGCAGTAGGTGAAGGCCATTAATAAAAATAGAAAATTAGTAACTTAAAGGAAAAGCCAGTTTGTAAAGGTGGGTTGGACATTCAATACCATGGCCAGTTAAAGAGGCCCACATGGCGGGAGAAAAGACATGAGAACACAACTGGAAAAAGACAAACACAGAGAACAGAAGACATTGTCAACATTGTTTTAAATCCTCTTAAGAGTCTGCAGGCACCTGTGTTCCCAAAATGTCTCTATTCTAACCATCAATAGAGACGCTGCCTGGTACAGACAGAAATCCTAGGCTCTGTATTCAGACAGACGTAGGCTTGCAATCTAGTTTTGTCACTGACTTTGCGTGTGACTTTGGAAGTACCCTGCAAGTCTGTCTTAGCCTCAGCTTTTGCTACCTTTAAAGTGAAGATGACAGTCTCTACCTCACTTGTGAGGATTAAATGTGATAGTGTTTTTCAAACACTTAGCACAGTGCTTAATGCATAGCACGTGCCAGACAAATGTCAATGCTCCCCCAATAAGAAAAAAAAATATGTTCTGCAATATACACTCATCCCTTATTTTATGAAGAAAATATTTATTTTCATAGCTAACACCCCCATCTTGTGGCCTTTTAAGGTACTGATGACAATAGAAGTTTTAGTGTATTTTTGCAACTGTATATATACATATATATGTATATATATATATTACTTATTCATCATGGAGCATTCCCCAGGGGTCTTATAATAAAAGTTACCCTGGTTAGACCAAGGTTATTCTTAGAAGAGTCCATAGTTTTGATACAGAATGTCTCCAAATCACCTAAGTGGCATTCAGAATCCTATTATTTAATTTAAAAGCAAAAGCAATGTAATCTTGATAAAAAATTCTTGTCTCTGCCTATAATAAATGAAATCTTAACTTTTTTTCTTCTTGAAACACTGACTACTCCTTTGGAGAGGGTATTTCTGGAGGATCTATCCTCACACTTTTCAACTGAATAAAATCTCTTTAAATTTACCAAAAAAAGCCAAAGGAAATATTCCAAAAAGAATCATGAATTTTATGTAGGCATGCGAATATTTAAAATTTCTCTCCCCAAAAAATCTTCCCTAAAAAGTGATGATAGGTATTTTTTGTGGAGTTAACATGTTTTCAGCATTAATAATTAGTGGTCCATCAAATTCAAAGTAACAATGTTGCTTATCTAAGTAGTCAAGAAATACTCTGTTCATGACTGTAGTCTCAACACTTTGGGAAGTTGATGGAGGAGGAACGCTGAGGCCAGGAGTTTGAGATTAACCTGGGCAACAAAGTGAGATCCCATCTCTACAAAAGTAAAAATTAAAAAACCAGCCAGGTGCAGTGGTATGCACCTGTAGTCCCAGCTACTCAGGAGGCTGAAGCAGGACCATTGCTTAAAACCAAGAGTTCAAGGCTGCAGTGAACTATGATCATGCTACTTCATTCCAGCCTGGATATAAGACTCTCTTTCTAAAAAAATAAAAATAAAAATAAAAAAGAAATGTTCTGTATCAGAATGTTATAAATTAAATGGTATCTATAGCTTAACTAAAGAAACTGACTAGTGCTAACCATTTTGGTTAGTAAACTAATGCTGGGTTTTGGGATTTATTCTTGGGCAAGTTGTGTGGCAAGCTGTGCTCCATCATCTTGGGCACACTGGTGAGTCATGCCCTGGTTAAATAAGCACTAATGAGGTAGGGCCATCAAGGTTTAATTTGCATGTTCAATGACTGACCTTCTTCTAACTAAATCTGGCAAGCTTTCAGTTCTAGAGTAAGAACCACTATATTGGCGTGGCAATCCGTCACTATTCTAAAATTCTGTGATCACCAAAGTTATTGTGGCAGTTTAATACACAAATATACATAGTCATGGGTGAGTGTTTGGCACTTACTAACACCAACAATTATTCTCCAACAACTGCTCTGTGTAAGTGGCAGTGGTTTTGGGATTCAGCTGGAAAATCATATTCAAAAGATCCAAGGGGCCACAATCCCTACAGGGCTCACTCTGCAGAAGGATGTAGATAAGAAGCAAAGCACAATGGCAGGACAAACAGGTGTGTAGTTAGTGGGGTCCTCTTCTCAGCAGCAACTTAGGTATGAGAGAGCAAGGCATGTGGGAGGACCCAGGATTCACTCTGGCTCAGGCTGGGGAACGGCTCGGCCATCAGGCACTGGCATCCACCAGTGCCACAGAGGCCTGCACCCCACTAACCTGAGTCCTGGCAGAATGCCCTGTGGTCCCTGGAAAATGAGCGAACATATGGCTTTGAGGCCTCCCCACTCACCTTGCAGTGTCCCTGAGAGGCTGTCATACGACAGTACCTCATCACTTCCCAGGTTTGGATAAGGTATGAACATCCTGCAGGCTCTGCCTGCAGACCAAGAACACCACGGTCGAGAAATCCTAGGAGTCCCACGACTTGCACGCAGCCACCGGCCCCCTTCTGTTTCAGGATAATCATTTTTGTTGTATGGGACAATGACCCCAAGAGCTACTACTTTTACCTATTCCTCCTTTTGATATGTAAGTAACAAACTGAACCTAAAAGGGCCTCGTTGTATCTTTATTAGCCAGACCAGAGACTGAAAAATCAGGGATTTTCTTTTCTGCTGGCCTAGAAGCAAGCACCATGAGCTCTACAACTGCAAGGAAATGACCTCTGTCAACAACCACCTGAGCTTGGTCACAAGCCTCCAGTGAGACGGCACACCTGGCAACACCTTGATTCTTGAGACTCTGAGCAGAAGACCCACCTAGGTAGCACCTGAACTCCCGATTTGCAGAAGCTGTGAGATGATAAATGTATGTTGTTTTAAGCTGCTAAATTCATGGTAATTTGTTACACAGCAATAGTACTCTAATCAGTGTGTTGGTACTTTGGTTTTGAATCTCAGAATCTATTAGTGAGAATCAGACTAAGAATGGACACATTTATTTTTCTTTTTTTTTGAGTTGGGGTCTCACTCTGTTGTCTCGGCTGGAGTGCAGTGGCACAAACAAGGCTCACTGCAGCCTCGACCACCTGAGCTGAAGGGATCAGCCCTCCTCAGCCTCCTGAGTAGCTGGGACTACAGGCGCATGCCACCATGCCAGACTTTTAAAATTTTTTTGTAGAGATGAAGTCTTGCTATGTTGCCTCTAACTTATGGGTCCAAGAAGTCTTGAACTCCTGGGCTCAAGCAATCCTTCTGCCTTGGCCTCCCAAAGTGCTGGGATGACAGGAATGAGCCACAGCACCTGGCCAGAATGAACATATTTCTTCACATCAACAGCCATCTGACAAAAGCCCAAGTATCTCACCAAGAACCAGATGCTCTATTATAGTAACCTTCCACTGTGTACCTTCTACACTCAGGATGAGGGCTGTAACTATCACCCTGAACCTGGTCCATTCAGTTTGCCAGTCATTGTTGAAGCGTGGTCAGTTTCCAGGGCCTTCCCACAAATGACTCCATTCCCTTCCTATCAGGACTCATATCTTTCTGACATTAGATACATTCACTACAGCATATTATCTGTCATCTGCCACTGAATAATATACACAGAAAAGGTTTTAAATGAAAAATTAATTAGTCATAAACTTAGATCATTGAGGATAAGTAATAGATATGAAGAAATTTTGGAAGTAGATAAAAAAGATGCTGCATATCAACAAACTAAATCTATTATGTTCCATTTCTTAACATTCTGAAAATAGGAATCAAGCAATAGATTTAAAACTAAAACAGACTTCAGCCTATGTAAATAAATGGATTTGACACAAGTGATGAAGTTAGAAAAACCAACAGCTATAATTAGTTATAATTCAGAGGTAACTTTGTAAACATAAAATAATTAAGTTTTTTAATAACCCAGTAGTTATATGTAAACTATATTAGGGGTCAATAATTTTCTTCTGTAAAGGATCAGACACCTAGCAAACAGTTTAGATTTTGTGGGCCATAAAATCTGTCACAGTTCTCTGTTACAACTACTCCTCTGTCACTGTAGTCTGAAAGCAGGTACAGATAATAAGAAAACAAATGGGCATGGTTGTATTCCAATAAAACTTTATTTACAAAAACAAGGTACAGTCAAATTGTGCTCACAGACTATACTTTACCAAACCCTGGTCCACACTGAAATATGATAGTCATTTAAATAAAAGAGTATCTCAGGAACTTACTGCTTAATTTTATCATTTCTAGGTCCAAATCTTGGTCCAGATGGTCCTCTTCTAAAAACAAAATACCAAGTACATATTAATAATGTTAGCATTTAAAACAAACCAAAACTCCCCAGAAAACACACACGCGTAAGTACAATCCAGCTGAATTCTAAATATGGATCATTTATTTATCCTAAGGTCACATTTTACCAGTATTGGTAGAACTGAATAATATGGAGTCATGTCTTTACTTCATTGGTGCTTACTGTTGGCCACAATTAACCTAATGTTAAGATTTTTAGAGAAGCCGGGCTCGGTAGCTCAGCCTGTAATCCCACAACTTTGGGAGGCTGAGGTGAGTGGATTGCCTGAGCCCGCAGGTTCGAGACCCGCCTGGGCAGGCGAGACCTCATCTCTACAATAAATTTAAAAAAAATTAGCCGGGCGTGGTAGCGCGCACCTG